CAGTCACTTCGAGGGCAGCATGCAGTGGTGCAGACTGCAGGCATACATAAAGGATCTCACAGGTAGTGCACTTCCCACCACCAGCCAAGTGATGTCTTGGTGCTTGTAAGAAACTTCTGGTGATGAGACATTCTGCTAAATGACTTTGACAGTATGCTCGGGGAACCATGTGTCAGGATCCATCCTCTCCTTTTCCCTCATTGTCTCGAAGGCCCTGACCACGTCCCTTGCAGCCTGTACTCCTCGCTGTAGGGTACGACCACACCAGTTTTCCTGTGAAGCCACTCTATGATTATTCCCAACAAGCAGGACACCCTTCCTAGTGATGGCCTAGTGGTATTATCACTGGACTGTTAATCCAGAGATCCAGATAATGTTCTGGGGACTTGGCTTCAAATCCCACTACAGTAGATGGTGGAATTTGAATTCAATAAATATCTGGAATTAAGAGTCTAATGATGACTGTGAATCCATTGTTGATTGTCAGGAAAAACCCATCTGGTTCACTAATGTACTTTAGGGAAGGAAACTGCCAACCTTACCTGGTCTAGCCTACATGTGACTTCAGACCCACAGCAATGTGGTTGACTCTTAACTGCCCTCTGGGCAATTAGGGATGGGCAATAAATGCTGCCTAGCCAGCAACACCTGCATCCCCTGAATGAATAAAGAAAAAAAACGAGACTGCTTCAATGTGACTCAAACTATGAGGACACCCTTTCCAGATCAGTACAGGGTTTGGTACCTTTGTTTAATTCCCAATAACTAAATTATTTCCTTCATTTCTTTCCTTGACCAAATCTATTTGGTGAGGTTTACCCATTGTGAAAAATGATGTAACACTTGGATTCTAAGTTTGGATTTGGATTTTTAAAAATAGAGGCTGATGGACTTTGGTCAGTTCTACGAAGGTATACTCTTGAAAAGAATAATTCAATTTCCTGGCTCTAGCTTTATCTCGAAGAGCTTGCTCCTACGGCAGCAACATTTATTTTCACTTTAATTGCTCCGAACCTGGTCTTTTGCGCTATTCAAAGGGTGCCCATAGGGATTGCCGATAGGTTTTTCTAACTTTACTCATGGAGCTCCAAACTGATCCCACAGATCCTTCTTCTGCATGCGCTCTAACTTTCCATAGTCAAAGTCGTAGAGCCATAGAGATCTACAGCACAGAAAAAAGACCCTTCAGCCAATCATGCCCTAGCTAATCAAAAACAACGACCTAACTGTTCTAATCCCAGTTTCTAGCACTTGGCTCACTGGCTTGTATGCCTTTGCAATACAAATGCACATCTAAATAGTTCTTAAATGTTATGAGAGTTTCGGCCTTTACCACCCTCACAGGCAGTGAATTCCTGATTTTAGTCTGACTTTTCTCCATGACATGGAGCCACTACTCCCTGAGAACTTTTCCTGAGCCCTAACTGCCTGGAGTTTCATCTTCATTATGATAGAGTCTGCTCCAGATTGTCTTAAACCTGATCTTTAGGGTTTACTAAATGCATTTAAGTTAATTTATCTTCCGGTTCCCTCTGGGCTGTCATTAATACAAGCTTTCCAGACATCATATCTCCAGTCACACAGCCCACCTGTTTATAACTCCATCTCTTGTATTCTGATTCTACTAAACAAACATGAGCAACCTTCTGAGCTGCTATCTGTTCCTAGGACTTCTGAATATCAATAAAGATTTTAATTACCTTACCTTCCTAGCTGTTAACCTCCTAAAGTGATACGACCTCAACCTTTTAAATGACAAAGTGCTTCAGGTGCATTTATGCCATTTTCCACTGTTAAATATTAATTCCAAAAACTGAAATTTATACAAAAACACTTTAGAATTATATACTCACAAGGGTGTATAAACTAATTCCATTCACATCATTCAAGCATTCATTTCAGTTTCTGTGAACAGTAATTTAGAGAGTAGCTATTTGTGTATTAAGTGTTTAAAATGGGATTTCCTCTGATTCTGATTGAAAATGATATACATAAACTGAATAAAAACTACACTCATCACTACTCAATTTATCATTTTTGTTCATCCTATTCTCAGAGTTCAGCTCATGAAATATCTTTAAGTTAATGTTAAATTATGATCTTTTTGTTCCACTTAGAAGTTTGCATGGAAGACCACCATCTCTCTTCTTTGTTGACTCCACTTCTATGTTCAATTGTTTGTCCTGGTGCACACAATGGATATTCTTACTTATATTTAGTATTCTTCTTCCACATGAACCCTCCTTCCAGTCTTTCACTTTCTCTTGATCTTTTCATTGAAATGGCCATCTCAATCTCTGTTCCCCTTACCCCATATTCCTCTGAATTTGCAGCAGTCCATACCCTCTGATCTAAACCTAACACTTACATTGCCAAATCTTTTGAACATTTCCTGGATTTTTTTAAATTTAAGATCTCCAGCATTCCCAGTATTTTTTTGTGCTTATATCCTATTCACATCTGTTTTCTGCTTAGTGAATTACTAAGATTTAAATAGGATCATGAGAAAATGTGTACAGAATTTATTTTCCTTGAATATTAGTCAATGATATGCATTGTAAAAGAACACAAATGGATATTACATGAAGCATATGATGTAAAGTCTCTTTTCCTTCCCAAGCTAAAGGTGAATTTGCATTTTTTAAACCAATTTATCATACTAGATCTCTATAAATTCACATATACAAGAACTTTCACTACTGAAATCTCATCAATTTTCAGTTATATCCAGAATCAGCTGAGCGTCATTGACTGAATGAGATTATCATAGGAAGTACATCATTGTATTTCCTTGTTTATTTAATTATTCTATCTTCTCTGCATTCAAAATGCTTTTTTTTTCAGTTATTTGTATGATTGTCAAAAACAGTTTGTCACCATCTTTCACAAAAGCTGCAGCTGACACAGCACTGCTCAATAGGCTCCAAAGACCAGACCCTAAATAGATGGCTTCTTAGCATTTTGTTGGCCTGGGTGACTGACTTCAGCCTATATCTATATTCAGCATTGAAATGCCTGTTAGATGTAGCACCGTTGCAAATACAAAACCCTTTTATTATGCAAATGAAACCCAAACAATGCCTGCAGATGAGATATATTGTGGCAAAGGTTTGAACTGTACAAAATGCCCAAAAAATACATGTTATTAATGATGAAATAGTAGGAACTGAGATAAAAAGGTGTAGAGCTGGATGAACACAGCAGGCCAAGCAGCATCAGAGGAGCAGGAAAGCTGATGTTTCGGGTCTGGACCCTTCTTCAGAAAT